TAAAATATCTAGAACATTTGCTACTCTTGCTAATATACTTCTAAGAATAATTTCCGCAATAGAAACAGATCCAACTAATGGCCAACCTAAAAATATTCCAAAAAAATAAGTGAAATTTTTTCTGTTTCAAATATGTACTAAAACTTGTATGGCTATATTTATGTAGATGTTCAAACTACAGCATTGTGTTTTCGAAATGCCAACCATCCAGTCAGCCTGCCTGCCAATCGTTTATAGCTGACGCATACCGCCAGTATATTCTCGGTATAGAACATTTTTGTGATCGTTCTTTTTTAAATTTTATTTTATTTCATCTTTCTTTTTATAATGTAAACAAAACTCCGCCTATTTTGTTTGTACGCGATCTGTATACGTGTGTGATCAACATCATTATGATTTTCATGATAATTATGAAACAAACACACACTGATTGCTAGCATAGAGGTCCCCCTTTTTTTAATGGACCACACTAATGTGTCGCACTAATTTAGCAGCGTTGACACATAAAAACGTTTTACAAGGCATCAAAAGAAATGGAGAAAGAATTTCATAGTTGTTTTTTTTTGTCTGTGTCTTTATTTCTTTTAAAGGTGGTGACATTTTGTAGTTGTAAATAAACAATGGCGGATTTGTTTTTAGACATGATCGTTTTGTAAACAATGTTTGTGTGTGATCAATGTAGATGTAGCGAATGAAGTCATAAATGGATTTGTTTATTCTTGATTTTTTTTAATGAATTTTACCTTTGACTGCCACTGATTTCATTGTTGGTATGGGTGAGTATGTAATAAATCATTTAAGTCACGGTGTGGTAACAAACAGGTTTTTTTTAAATAACCTTTTTTATTTGGTTTATGATGAAAAATGGTGGGAAATTAACGATTTTTTTATTAATTCCTTAAATATTAATAATTCTTTAAAATGTCACAAATAAATTGAAAAATTGTGTTAAATAAAATCTATTTTTATTGCAAATTTTGTTTACAAAATTTATTTTCCAATTTCCTTTTAAAATATTCAGTTAATTAAATTTCTTTCGCCAGATTTTTATTAAGATTTTACGTAATAATTTACTAAAAAAAAGTGCATTATCAAATGTGTTGCCAGAAGAATTAAAAAAAACTTTATGATTAAAATAGCTCTACTATTTACATATCATATTGGATCAACTTTTACCCTAGAATACTGATTAAAATATTGTCTAGAAATGATAACGATCTCGGACGAGATCATGTATCAGCGTAAAAATGTTGAAAACGTAACATGATTTAATGCAAAAACATTGTTTCGAATCGTCCAAGGTTCCTGGATTAAAGCTATATGTTCTTAATAAAGTTTATTTTAGCAATTAGAGCGTGATGGAGGTTTATTTGGATGATCTCTTTAGTTGGCCAATTCCCAATTTTGTAATGCATCGCTGTGGTGAGTGAGTGATTTCCTCCTTGCTTTTAGGATTTTACCCCTAAACGGCTAATGATGCTGTGGACAAAGTTTTAGGTATTTCGGTATCCTGGCCGTTACTTGTTGTAGCAGCAGCACTTCTGGCGAGTTAGTGGTAAGCTCCTTGTGTTTAGGATTTGACACTTCAACGTTGGCAGTAGTGGGCTAATGATGCTGTGTCGGGGATGGTTGTAACAGCCTTTCCAACTGGCACCAATTTTGAAGATAAGAGCTTTAGAAGCGAAATAAGCCCTATCTTTGTTCTTGACAAAGACTAGGCATGGAGTTCTGGTCGATATCTATTACAAGTACAGTTCCCTAAGGTGCATTTTTTCTTTGAAGATATTTCCTTTATCTATGGGCAGCTCAGCATTTTCGATTCTAAGAATTTCAAATATGCGCACAGTTTACTGCCCCTTTCATTTATGAAGACAGTGAACTTTAAAAGTAACGGAAGATTTCTCTTCTTTGTCAGTCCCAGCTTAGCGCCGTCCCAGGGAGGTACCAAGTTATTTAGGTGCCAACACATTGGTGGGATGCCATTTTTATTAACATCACTCCCCATTCTCAACGGCCCATTATTGTTGACCAGATCTTTTACCTTACTCTGCTGGTCTATTTAGATTTTGCCAGTCGGATTACCTGCATCTGTATACTGCATAGCAGAGATCGTTCCGTTATCTTCTCTTGGCAACATTCACTGTCAAGCTTCCTCCCCGTTTTTATACCCATCATCAAAAAAGATGGGGAGTATATTGATTTTGTCATTCCGTTTGTAACACATAGAAATATCGCTCACAGACACCACAAAGTATATATATTCTGCGTCCTTGTAAAATTCTAAGACGATCTGTCCGTCTGTTGAAGGCACAATAGAGCCTAGAGGAGTGGACCTAGGAAGATGAAATTTTCCCACAATATTATACATTGATCAGAAATGTTTGGTATTGAGAATGGGCCATATCGGTCAACGCCATCACATAGCCCCCATATAAGAGACCCCCGGAATATTGTTTAAATCGTCATAAAAATGTAAATTTGTCAGTAAATGTAATGAAATTTCGCACAAGTTAGTTTTAAGTTCCCAAAACCTATTCTGTAAAGTATGGTTGACATTCCTCTATAACTGACCCTACCCCCCATATAAGGTCCCCTTCAGAAAATGACTATAACGCTCATTACTGGGTCAAAAATGCGAATATAGCGATGGAATTCGACACACATAAGTTACATGTGAGGCAAAATTACTCTACCAAATTCGACACATAAGTTTTATACGAGTTAAAATCTCTCTACCAAATTTATTGATGATCGGTCCATAATTGACTTTACCCTTCAAAGTATTACTTTAACGATCATTGCTGGCTTAATTATGTGTACAGCTATGACATTTAATAGAAGAAACTTTTATAGTAACGTAAATCTTCTTACCGAATTTCATGCGAAAAGTGCCGGTAACTCACCCTTCACACCCATATAAGCTTCCCTTCAGAAAATTACTTTAACGCTTATTACTGGCATTAAATGCGAGTACCGCGATGTAAACAAGTTTTATATGAACTTAAAGCGGTCTTCAACATTTTATGAAAAACGGTCAATAATTCACCCTACCTCTCATATAAGGTCTTCAGTTAATTTGATGAGTAAAATCACCCTGTTGTTTTACGGAATACGGTTTGATGGTGGGTATACGAGATTCGACATAGCCGAATATAACACTCTCACTTGTTCGGGGCTTCTTTTGAGACTTCCTTACCTTCGAGGTTGATTTTATCCACGTGATCGCCTTCAGAATATTTAGCTTGGTGTTGTCACCCTTACTCCCAGGATTCTGTCTTGAGATTCCTTTGAGTCTTTATGGCTTGACATGGACTGTATATTAGAAGAGGAGGAGCTCTTTTTCTTCTAAGGTTTATTTTCAGTTGTCAACTACTCGGGAGATCTGATCATCTTTGCCTCAGATATAGAGGAACAGTGTCACAATAGTCTGAATTATATAAATATGTACCATTATCCTTAGTAGATATATCCGACATTAAAGAGCCGATAAAATCGTCCACTAATTCATACTTTGTATGATAAAGAGATTTACAAGTCAATACAATAAAGTCTTAACCGATTATCCTTTCCTTTAAGCAGTATGGTATGCAAAGAGTCGGACGGAATCTATAGTTGGTCTCAAGTGAATATTATTAATCCTTTCGAACTTCTACAACCTAAAAGTTGACAGACAAATAGGTTCGTAATGTTACCGTAGACCATTGAACATCCGGTAGATTAGACAATTGAGGGCAAACTGATTTGATTTGAGTCAATTAAGTAATAATATCTGAATTATATTGAAGATCAGTTGATATAATGCCAGAGGTTTTTAGGAGTCCTGTTTTAGATATAAGTTTGATAAGAATATTTAACATCCATTCGCATCTTCGGAAGTAAAGAACATACATACATATGTATCTCTCAATAAGAGATAAGCTTTCAGGTAAATGATCGTTAAATTAGAATCTGAAATTTTTTCTATTAGTCCCACCACAACTATAGAAAAAATTCTACGTTGATACAGAAATATTAAGAGATTATTGCAAAGCCAGATAATTTTTATTAAAAGGCGAAAACAAGGTCCATTTTTGAAAAACAATGCTACAGATCAAATTTAATATTTTACAAGTGGAGTTCAATGGATTGGAATGCTCGATAATGCGAAATTCTCCGGCAATTTCGAGATGCAACATATAAATATTTTAAAAGGTTAACAGCCGCATCTCTTTCCCGAATATTTGAAACAATTTCAATAACAATATAAAATTAAATTCTAGTGATGACGTTTATTTTCTTCATTTGAAACGACACCAATTACATCTATAACAGTTATCAATATTTCAAGGTCTTTATGACAAAAACATTATTATAGTTATTTAATATTTTTGCTTGATCAGCAAAAAAAACTTTTAAAAATCTCTTTCTTCTTAAAAAAATCTCTGCTCCCATCTGCACTCATTCACTCAATATGCCATATATAAAAAAAGACTATAGAATACTTTTTTGAGTAAAATTAATCCAATTAGGTTTATGAATTTTCGTATTGTTCTACTCGACGAAACGTTATGTGAGTGTGTTTCTATGGATTTTAACAGCAAAACATTAAAAATCTCACACACCCACATATGGTGCCATAAGGTACGAGTACTTCTATAGATCGCTACCAAGAAGATCACATACACATGTGAATTTAACCCATTATGAACACTAGAAATCTTTAGGGAAACTGAAAAAACACTTGAAAGCGAGAGCTAATTATAGAGTGAAGAAATGGAAAAAACTCAAGAAAAGGATTTTAGAGCAACAATTGTTGAATTTGATAAATGCAACAATTGAAATAAAACTGGAGCATAAAATTTAGTTCAATTAGAATAACGAAACCGTGAAGACGTAATAAACGGTATAAATGGAAATATTTTTTGTTTAAGGAAAAGAATAAATAAATAACAGTGAATCAATGTTTAGTGAGATAAAATATATATAGTGAATTAAAACAGAGAAATAAAGAAATAAAATCTTAAAGAAAAAAGTAAATACTTTTATAACTGAAATATAGAAAATTTTATCATAAGAATTAAATAAGATAAAATAAAACAAAATGATTAAAAGTGAAGACATGTTAGATACTAACGGTTGCGGATCTTTGAATCCCTCTCATGGCTTGCATCAATTGAGCAACCATCACTCGTCGCTGTATCGTAATTTACCCGCGAATATTTTGGCCTCTTCCAATTTTCAACCCATTATGTATGGGGCCAGTGCTGGTGATCATCACATGAACAGTACATCGATGATGCGTATGCATCAAGATTCTCCCGAAATGATCGATGAAAAACCCACAATGCTACCCTCATACACAAATGAGCGTAAATATTATGCCACAATGATGACTCAACCAGATTCTATAAATTATGGTTTGACTTCATTGCACAGCATGACAACACCGACGGCATCTTCAAGTCCGATCTCATACGGTGTACTTTTCAGCAATCAACAGAACAATGTTGACGTTAATGCTGCTGCTGGTAGTGGTAACGAAGAGGCACCACCCTCTGGGAACTCATCACCTTCAGCCCAACGCACACCGACGGAAAACGAACTGCAGCATTATCACTCAACGAATGGCAATAAAATTGTTAATCTTTTACCCTCCACCAATACACTGGGTCAACAATTAAATCATCATTACGCCTCCACCATTAAATATTGCTCCAGCAAACCCTCAACGGATTATTTACAAAATAACGAACACTCCGATTTGCAAGATCATCAGCAACATCATCATAATCATCATCCCTCCAATAACAATGAACACATGGATTCTACCAACTCTAATGAACAACATTCTCTGCAACGTATTCAACATACCTCAACTTCGGGTGGTGTTATTACCTCCGTTAATAATTCTCAAAATGATTCGAATCAAATCATTTCCGCCAGAGTTTATGCAATTAGTTCCTCTCCTGCTAAATCGGTTAATAGCAATAACAGTGATAATGTCAATACCTCATCAATAAAGCAACAACAACAGCAGCAGCAACAAACATCAGCATCATCGTCCTCTCAGGATTTATCATCACCGGATACTACGAAAAAATCAGGAGCCAGACGTCCAGAAAAACCGGCTCTTAGCTATATAAATATGATTGCTATGGCCATCAAAGAATCACCAACGGGAAAATTAACACTTAGTGAAATTTATAGTTTTCTACAGAAGAGGTGAGTTGAAAAATTGGAACTTGGGCGGGTTTTACAGTTCTCTCTAGGCGAGGAAATTATACTTAAGTTTTGAAAATTATAGTAATGTTTTTAAGTAAAATTCTTCTCATAGTTTGAATTATAAAATCGGACCAAAATGTAATAATGTTTAAGATAGGGAACTAATAATATGTCTGAAATATCTGAGTTCATATTCTAGTCAAAATTAGGTACAAATTAACTGATTTGTAAAAATTTCGTATTTATAATATATTTCCCTAAATAAATCTTTTGAATTTCTTGTTATATCAAAAGATATAATCCAAAACATGGAAATTAAGATAACACAGGCCTACAAAATTTGACAAAAAGTCAAATCCCAGAGACCCACGAATACTTTCCTAAATGATTCAGCCGTTTTGGACCAGTTTAGAGACGTTATAACGCAAAGAACCTTCAGATAAGGTATTGATTACGAAATTCGCCAAGAAATTCTTGAACTGAGTGTGTAAATCTATTTCGAGCCCGTTGTTACTGGGTCTAAATAAAAACGTGAATATGCATTAGCAATTTAAATCATTTTTATGGCGATTAACTTTTGTGAAATGTTCTGAAATCATGTATGAAACGTATTCAAGTCAAGAATACAATTCTTGATGCTAAAGAAGTCTTTTTCTATTGCTAACGAAGTCTTTTCTAAAATGTTCCGAAATCAAATAAAGAAAACCTTCCAGATATAAGAACTTTTTGGTATCACTTCAATCTTAATCATACTTGAATTAATTTTATTTTCAACTCAATTTACTTATGCCTCAGAGCTTAAATCAAACCGAAATTTAAGATAAAATCCGACATAAATAGTTATTAGTTTTAAGAAATGAACTGATCTTAGGCCTTCCACCGATTTCACTATATAAATTTCATATTAATTTCAGTAGAATTATAAACCTCTATATATGTAAGTAACTTTTATAAAAACAATAATCTCTGAAACATGTTCCGAGAGCAATAACATCTCACTTCTATTATCCTCCAAAGATTGTTAGTGTTCATGATCCATTTAGATAATACCAAAACTACTCCCCTGTAAATATTATTGGAGTACATAATCCGTTTAGTAGTATTATCTAATGCAGGCATGGATCATGTTTATTTTTTCAAAACAACATGGTCCCTAGCCTGCATTATATAGGACCATGCCCTCATATAATCTTAGCCAGCGAGTAGTTTTGGGATTACTCTGATGTAGTACATGGATAGATTACGTGGTCCTCACCATTGACATCACCATGTCAAATGGAGTATGTTTTTTCTATATCTTTGGATTAATTTTGGACCAGTCGTGTACTGATTAGTCTCAGTAGGTGTGGATATTTTGTTGGTTCGCCATAATTCGCCATGAAGGTAACTGGTTTTGTTGGTGAGAGATTGAAGATGTCTTTTGAGGTTAGTAAGACAGCACTCAAGATCTTAGCTCTGCGGGACCCTAATAATGAACAGTAACATAAAATAGGTTTTGAGGTTTCCTCTTGTAGGCCACATAATTTGCAAAGATTCATTATAGAGTTGCCTTGAGTGAATTTATGGTATCTAAGACCACAGAAGTATATAAGACCACAGAAGTAATCCTGTTAGTACTCTGAGATCGCTTTTATTGTCTGTCTGAGCCCACACATAATATGTATGTATCTAAAATTTGTAAAAATATTGATAAAATTGATTTATAAAAATGTCCCTTCTTCGTTATGTAAAATTGCTGACACTTCTAAAACTTCTTTAAAACTACATAAAAAAGTGCGTTTATTTATTTAAAAAAATCTGAGTAGAAAAGAAATACGAAACATGACTATATGGTGCCAATAAATACGACACTTGAATTTCTAAATCGCACATATGTACATATAACAGACGCATACAATTTAAATGCGAGAATGATATTGGAGAATAAGCAATAACATCATTATAACTGAACAATAAAGTCCTAATTAAATTCTCTTAAATTTAGGAAAATTCACAGAATTTTGATAATTTATAAATATTTTATTTAATCAAATATTTGTTTATTTTTTGTATAAAACTTATATAAATAATAAATTAAGAAATAAACTGATTTGATAGAGGAAGCAAAATGATAGCGATGATCTTTATGCAGAGAATAGTTTTAGCAAAACTAAATACATCAAAAAAGATATTGAAAAAAAAATACAAATAAATTTTTTTCATTTTGCCCGAATGGTATATAATCTTCAACTTTAGGAAAAATATCGTACGAGAGAGAAGTTGACCTCTAATTTCTTTTCTGTAGAAATGATCATTCATGGATCAACAAAAATTGCATGTCAGCCAAAGATATTTCCAAGAGAGAAAAAATCACAAAGGGATCTCTTATTTCTATTCTGTAAAACAGATCTTTCATCGATTTTTAGATCAAAACAACTTCTATTTCCTTTTATTTTAAAAGGAAATGATATTTCCGAAATATTGAAAACTTTATTTCGATATTTTCATTCTTAAATCATTTTTCTTAAGTTTGACTGAATCGTATATAATCTTCAATAAAAACTGCACGACTTATCTTATGGAAGGATAACATATGCGAAAGAAAAGATCACACGTTGATCTCTAATTTCTTTTCTGAAGAACTGAACATTCATTGATCAACAAAAAACTGCATTTCTCTAGTAAACGACATCCAAGGACAACCCTCAAGAGAGAATACATCAATAGAACTGATCTTATATCGATCACAAGAAAAGATCACAAGTTGATCTCTAATTTCTTTTCTGAAGAACTGAACTTTCATTGATCAACAAAAAACTGCATTACTTTAGTAAACGACATCCAAGGATTACCCTCAAGAGAGTATAAATCAATAGAACTGATTTTATATCGATCACAAGAAAATATCACAAGTTGATCTCTAATTTCTTTTCTGAAGAACTGAACAAATAAATTTATATAATTTTATAAATTTTGAAAACCCCAATTTCCTTAAGCTTTCCAAAATTTATAATTTTAAATTTAATTTTTTTTATTTTGTTTCAGATTTGATTTCTTTCGTGGTCCCTATGTGGGCTGGAAAAACTCTGTGCGCCATAATTTAAGTTTAAATGAATGTTTTAAAAAGTTGCCCAAAGGAATGGGAGTGGGAAAACCTGGCAAAGGCAATTATTGGACCATAGAACAAAACTCTGCCTATATGTTTGAAGATGAGGGCAGTTTGAGAAGAAGACCCAGAGGTTATAGATCAAAATTGAAGGTTAAACCTTATGCTGCTGCAAATGGCTTCTACACGACTGGTGCCTATGATACAGGAATGGTAAGATAAACAATATTTTGTTAAAATTTAACATACATATTAAAATCTCTTTGTTTTATCTTTTATTTACTAGGACAATCCAAATTTCTACGCTTCTCAAGCCTTTACCTCCTATGATTATCCCTCAGCTGCAAGTGCTGGTAATTTCAATGAAGCTTGGGCTCCACATGGTCACAGTCATGGTCAAAATACTCTACCTCAGTATTCGAATATAGCCGTTTCATCGGCTTTACAAAATAACAGTCCTACACCACCGCTGGCTCATGCCATTTCAAATGTCTCCACCAGTAGTTCATCGCCTGCGCCCTCAGTATCCACCGGTTCTATAATTACGGCGTCAGCTTTGCAATCAAATCCCGGTTTAGATTATGCTACAGCATCATTAGTAGCAGCCGGCAATGGCTATAATCCATATGGTTCATCACCAACAGGCGCCACTTACAACATAGACAGTGGTAAGTACTCACACGCACAATCATCATCATCATCATTATTATTAGTATTAACTATAAAAAAAGAGAAGAGCATAAATAGAAGAATCATCAGCTTTCAGGGAGTTCATATCAATCATAAACTTTTATTACGAGAAATTAAAACATTAAAATCTTGTCGTGGAAGATCATAAATTTTGTCTGCTACTTTTTTTTATTAAAAACAAAACTCAACATGTTGCTACATTATACCATTGAAATAGTATTTAAATAATTGTTTTATAATTTAAAATACAAATTTAATTTTCATGTTTATAATTCTTTTATCAACTTTATACTTTTGCAGGTTTGCGTTCAATGTCTTTAACCCAAATGTCTTCATTGTCATCAGCCCATCACCATTCCCATCATCATCACCAAAATTCACATCACAATTCGTCCATGACACCTCCACCACCTTTGCCACCAACCTCATCATCATCGTCTTTATTAAATCTGCCCCCCACATCGTCGTCAGCCTCAACAACATCTTCATCCTCATCGTCTGCATCGGCAACATCACATTTAGTTGATCGTAAACCGATTTATTTACCCCCAATGACTCCACCGTCCGGTACAATATCGACGCCGCCACTGCATCAACAGCATCTAAGTGTGGGTGGTTCAAATAGTTCGGGAGGTGGCGGTAATAGTGGTGATGGTGGTTCTTCTTCGTATTACGAACACATAAAATATTCAAACTAATAACAACAACTAGAATTTTTATTTCCTTTTTTTAAAAAATATTTTTAGTTTTACCAAATACCTAATTATAAACACATATAGTATTGTATGTTCAAAATTTTAACAGCTAGAGTTGCCAAAAAAACAAATTTAAAAATAATCTCAAAATTTTAAGAAAATATTGTAATTTTAATATTATTATACTAAGTTAAATAGTTTTTAATATCAATAAAATACAACATATGTAAATAATTTAGCCGTTTTGGTAGTTATTTCCTGGTCTTTTCATTTCGCGGGAACTGACGAAAGGTTTATTATTCCCGGGAAATTTATTCTAACTTGTCATATGTTCTTGTTAATTCTGTATTATTAAAGTTTTTAGTACAAAGTTAGAAGTTTCTAGCTCTAATGGTTTCCCAGTTATAAAAATTTTTTGTATTTAATTCATATGGGTGATACCACGCCATCTATTTGTAGTCCTCCAATTTATTACCCAAATGTTCACATGCATGTCAGAATTGTTCGTGCAAAATTTGAGTCTTGAAAATTTTTATATAAGAGGTGCTACAATGACAAATTTGAGGACTCCAGCTGTTGTAGTTTCTAATATATTCGACTTTTAATACTTATTTTTCAATTGGGCGTGGCACCTTATATTATTATAACGTCTCAAATAAGACCAAAAACGGGAATTTAGACTTTAAGACTCAATATTTTGAAAATCTGATGGGTGAAGAATTAATAATTTGCGACAATTATTAACATGCCTAGTCCTGGGAGGTTCGTAGTGTTCTTCCCAGGAGTAGACATGTACATTTTTGATGGTCTTGTAGATTTGTTTGAAATCAAAGTATTATTAACAAGAATTATGGACCCCATAATATGATAATAATTTGACTTTAACTTAATCTCGATGTCGGTGTTTATATTAGATCTCAATAGGTGATTTCTATAATTATGAAAATCTAGTGTATGAATCTCGTTTGTATTCAATTTAATCTTAATATCAAGGTTTTAGAGAATTAATCAATTTAATTTTGAACACAATATTTTGAGCTGGGCTCAACCGAGAGCCCTCAATATTAATACGGGGAAGACGGAAATCTGTCTGTTTCTTGGACAAGAAGATACCGGTGACAGACAGAGTTATGTACTTAGGAGACACCACATAGGATAGGATATGGGAGAACCATAGGCATGAAATGGGGTCTTAGTCCTACTATGACACATTGGCTTTATACATGTGTAATTAGAACAATTCTACCTTCAAAAATCTGGTGGACTTCAGGGAGCTTAGCGTATATGGTGCCTATATGGGTATTTGTGGTGCCATGAGAACTACATCAACCAAGGCATTGGAAACATTGCTAGATATTTCACCCATCAAAAACATATTTAAGATATGAAGCGGAACCTAAATGAGGGGAAAAAGTTGGCCGGGTGTTCTATATTGAAGACCCAGAAACAGAAATACTACTACTACTACTACACTACAGTTTACCTGATCACAACATTAGCTTCCAGGCAGAATTCCAAGCAATAATCGAATGCGTAAATTGGATTAGAATAAATACGGAGACAGCCAGAAGGAAATTAGGGCGATATCAGATGATAAAGTTAAATGAAATATCGTATTGGATTGTAAGAAAGCTGTAACCGAATACTCTCCCAGAGGTAAGTTTTACATCATATGGATACCAGGACACTCGGTAGTAGTCGAAAACGAAAGACCGAATGTAGTAGCTTTAAAGAGAGTAGAGTTTGAGGTAGTAAACCTTACGAACACAAAACAAGTATGAATGTATAATCGGGCATGTGCGACCACATGATATCCTACCCCAGTGAGTATGTTAAAAATTTGGATTGTGTTTTAAATAATAAAGCATTTAATTTGATTTTTACCTTAATTTCGGAATATTTTTAATTATTGTTGACAAAAAAAAAGAGATTTTCTACAAGAGGGCTCATATGGGGGTGAGGGTAAATATGGGCCTATCCTTATAAATGTTGGTAGAGGAATTTACGTCTACATCAAATTTATATATAAATAATTTCATAGTGTTATTACTATTTATAACTGAATTTTGAACTTCAAGTCATTTTCTGAAGTGGAGTTTGTATGGGGGCTAGGGTCAAATGAGGTCCTATCATTACAAACATGGGCATTGTGATTTAAACTTCTAGAAAAATAAATTTTGCCGATTTTTGTTGACGTACTGGAACATTTACTATAATTATGAGCTCAAAAGCCCTATTCAGGGAGTACGGTTGTATGGGGGCTAGGCGAAATAATGAACCGATTTCAACCATTTTCAGTAGGGTTCATTTGAAAGAAGAGTATGTGCCAAATTTCATCAAATTATCTTGAAAATTGCGACATGTTGCGTGCGCACAAGCTTTACATGGACACATAGATAGACCGATAGACAGACGGACGGTGTTTCTGAAAGTGTTTCTGAGCCGATTGGTATACTTTAAGGACCAATATTTTTGGATATTACAAACATCAGCACAAACATATAATACTCTCCCCACTATAGTGGTGTAGGGTATAAATATGGGTGAGTGAAATCCATAAGGCCTCTTGGAATAATGAAACAGTGGGTAGAACCACAAAAAAAAAAAAAAAACCTATAGGGTGATCCTAAGGAGAGCAGGACTGCCTGCTCAAAATGAGCAAGCTGAGGTTAGCATATACAAAATTGGACGTGCGGATTCAGACGAATGTAGAGTATGTAGAGAGGACATTCTGGAACACTTTCTTGGCCATTATCAGGCTTTCGCCGAAATTCTATATAAAAATCTTGGGAGTGATATTATTCCGGACGAACACTGGTCGGAAAATTCTTAGGAATTACGTCCAGGAAACTTAGTTTCTGAACATCGGACGATAATACATTCAGTGAATAATATATAATTTTGTTTTTGTTTTTACCAACAAACATTTTTCATGAAAAGTAGCTTACAACAGACCCGACAGTGGACCGGGTATATTTCTTCGGATTTGATGTAGATACATATAATTTCAATAATTTAGACAATGATAGTAAATCTGTAATAGTTTTTTTAGTTGTTATAAATGCTTAAAGCTGTGATATACGGTTGTCAGATCTTACAACGTTGTCAGTAAAATGTGCAGAAAATGTACAATAATCGTGTGAACTTACAATTTTTCTTTTGCAATGTTGGCAGAAAAAGCATTACTGACAATGTTGCAAGACAAAATTTGTAAGTTGACACTGTTGTTAGGAATTTTCTGTACATTTTACTGACAATGTTGTAAGATCTAACAACCGTGTATACATAGCTTTAGCGGTAAAGGTTAAAAGTTTTAACATTTTTTCATAAAATGTTGTGTTAATTTTTGTATAAAAATCTGATTGGAATTTTTGAAAATATCGATATTTTTATATGTAACTATATTATATCGACTATCTTGTAAGAAAAAAGTCGAATAATCGATTATTAAAATGAAAGTCGAATAAAATCGATATTATAATAATATTCGAAAAGTCGACATTTATAAAACCCTAATAAGAAATATCGTCTTACTGTTGTTAGCTGATAAAATCTGGCATCCTCAAGCGTGGATAGATTCCTTATAAAAAAATGTGTTGTTACGAAACTGCATTTTCCTAATTTTCAATTAGTGCATTAGTAAAGACTTAAACCAAAAACCTAAATGTATCAACTAAACAAAGTAGGAATAACATGCAGTGTATCGTAACGCATATGTATGTTCTGATCCCAATTTTTCGATCAATTATTTATATTTTTCTTTTAAGAAAGTTTTCTTTGATAATTATGAAAGAATATTATATTATTCGGTGGGACAACTAGTGGTCTTGGTAGATAATGCAGTACAGTTATTATCATTAAACTAAAAGTGCTGCCAAGTTCAGAAGCTATTGGTAGTTGTCTCTGCTGTTCTCTTTAATGTAAATATACGATGAAACGGTTATTGTAACCAAATCGAATAGCATTTTTATTATCACTAGATGGTGTGATAATTTATAGGGTAAAAGTATCCTAACCCGTATTTGCCATCATGATTATTTTAATGAAACATAGATGGCGCAATATAACATAATGGCGTCATTTCCATTTAAATTGGAAAATTTTGCTGAGGCTCAGCAAAAATTTCCAACAAGCGTTTTTTTCATATGAACTCAGCAAACTACTTAGATGCGGGGTATCTCAGCAAAATTGTCCGGTATGAAATGTACGTGTTTGTGTGTCGATCCCAGCAAATTTTTGCTCAGCAAAAATTTCCATTTTAAATGGAAATGACGCCATTGAAAATGGAAATGACGCTAAGCGCGCGTGGAATTGATGCATTTTCTTGTTCTTTGAATGAACATTCTTCTGTGAACTTGTACATATTTGTCTTAAAGTGTTGATTATCTATCTATATCTATAATCTATATCTGTATCTATATATATTCTATATCTATATATATAAAAATGAACGTGTGTTTGTTTGTATGCTTGAACGTTATAGACTACTAAACGGCTGAACCGATTTTCTTCAAATTTTCACAGCGTATGTTTGCATGTCTGGAATAGGTAATGAGCTACTTTTTATTTTGAAATTCCAAGCGGGCAGGGTGCCACGCCCATATTAAGAAAATATGAAATGCGTATATTTGAGATAATATAACAGTTAGAGTCCTCAAATTTTGTCGATATGATTATTTAGGACAAAAAATAGGCGGACTAGCATTAGGGGGCGTGGCACTTCCCATATATATCAAATACAAAAATTCGTTTATCTTGGAAACTATTACAGTTAGAGTCTTAACATTTTGTACGAATAACTTTAACATCCATTTATTTCAAATTTTATTTAAAGAACTTTGATATTCAACTGAATGTTTAGAGTATAGCGGGCAGACTTTCAATGGGGAGTTGGTACCGCCCATATGAATCTATATTTATAAAAATGAATGTGTGTTTGTATGTTTGATTGGACTTTAGAGACTGCTAAACGGCTGGAGAGATTTTCCTGAAATATTCATAGTATCTTCCTGTATGTTTGGAAGGAACTATAGGCTACCTTTTGTTTTAGAATTTCAAGTAGGCGAAGTGCCACGCCCACATACAAAGTTAGTCTTAAAAGTCGCATATCTCAG